AAAGACAAGGTAGCTGAATATGTCTTGAGTTGTTTCTGCATCTTCTAATCTGTTCCTTTGATCTTCAGGTCTTTTTTTGTAGTATCACACTGTTTTGTTTTGTTTTTTTTTTATCACAGTAGCTTTATAGTATAATTTCAAGTCAGGGTTGTGATGTCCCCTTGCTTTTCTTGCCCCAAATTACCTTTGCTATTCTAGGTCTCTTCTGGTTCCAAATGAAATTTTAGAATTGTTCTCTCTCTCTCTCTCTCTCTCTCTCTCTCTCTCTCTCTCTCTCTCTCTCTCTCTTTTTCTTTGGGAAAGGGTCCACACGGTGTTCAGGGTCTCGCTGCATAGATCGGACTTGTAGTGATTCTCCTGTTTACAGCCTCTCAAGTGCTGGGATGACAGGCACGTGCCATCTCAGCGTGCCCTGGGGGTGGGGCTGGCATGGCAGGCCCAGGATCGAACACTGGCCCTTGTGCCTGTTGCAGGCCTCTTAATCCTCTGAGCTATTTGGCCAGCCCTAGAATTATTTTCTTTAATGCTAATTCTATATCTATGATATATGCTGTTGTGATTTTGATCAGAATTGCATTAAATCTGTACAACAGTTTTGGAACTATTGCAATTTTCACTGTATTAGTTCTTCCTACCCAAGAGCAAGGGCTATCTTTCCATTTTCTGATGCCATCAATCTCCTTTTTCAGAGTATTGTAGTTTTCATTGAAGAGCTCTTTTATATTCCTCATTAGATTGAGTCTTAGGTATTTCTTTCTTTTTTGGGGGATGTTCTTGAGTGAATTTGTTTTTCATGTATAGGAAGGTTATTGATTTTTGAGTGTTGATTTTGTATCTAGCTTTGCTAATGAATTTGCTTATTAAATCTAGTAGGTTTTTGGGGGCCGGGAGACAGCTCAGTTGAATAAGCGCTTATCTGGCAAGTGCAAGGGCCTGAGTTCAATCCCTGGTTCCAGAAGAAAAGAAGAAAGGAAGGAAGGAAGGAAGGAAGGAAGGAAGGAAGGAAGGAAGGAAAGGAAGAAAGGAAGGAAGGAAGGAAGGAAAGGAAGAAAGGAAGGAAGGAAAGAAGGAAGGAAGAAAGAAAGAAAGAAAGAAAGAAAGAAAGAAAGAAAGAAAACCCCATGAATATAGCTTCAGAGGTCTCCCTGAGATTAGTCTCTCTCCAAGTGAGCCCAGAGCCTCAGAAGCACCTCACATTTACTGAGGACTAAAGGCAGGCTAAGGAATGTGCATAATTACTTTGGCGAAATCTAGTAGGTTTTTTAGTGGACATTTTGGGGTCTTCTATGTGGAATATCATGTGATCTGCAAACAATAATAATTTAAACGTCTTCCTTTTTAATTGCTATTCATTTCTTTCTCTTGTTTAACTTCTCTGGCTAAAGTTTCTAGGACAATGTTGAATGAGAGTGGAGATAGTGGAATCATTGTTTTGTTCCTGATTTTAGAGGAAAGGCTTTCAGTTTTTGTCTATTTAGTATGGTGTTGGCTGTTGATTTGTCATAGATGGCTTTTTATCAGATTGAGATAAAGACCACCTATTCCAATTTTCTGTGGGTTTTTTTAAAAATCATGAACGGATGCTTGAATTTGTCAAAAGCTTTTTCTGCATCTATTGAGATGGTCATATGATTTTTTTAAAAATCAAATTGGTATGACAGTTTCAATAATTAGCACATTGCATACTCTCTTCCTAGTGGTTATTTGCTGTACAAGATGCAGACATGATATCCTGTTTACAAACACTATTACAACAAATCCCTCTATTCATTAAAAGAATGTAACTATATATCTATCCTAACCACTTGAATATACAAATACAAAATGGACATTCATCTGTATCCCCTTTTTTGTTTAGTTCCATCATATGAATATTATAGGTGTGCTAACTCAGCAAAATATTCTAAAAGAGTCCAGTAGTCCATAATAGTATTGGGTCTTCCTCTTGACTGGAAATGTCAGAAATTCTTGACCTGAGTCCCCTACAGCTTAACATAACAGCATGGCTCTTCTTCTTCTTCTTCTTCTTCTTCTTCTTCTTCTTCTTCTTCTTCTTCTTCTTCTTCTTCTTCTTCTTCTTCTTCTTCTTCTTCTTCTTCTTC